CTCAGAAGCGGAGATTGTCGGAGCTTGATGCTTAGTTTCATCTTCATTTCAATCTCAAAATCTGCTGGAACTTGCTGTCCATCAGTATTGCTACTCCAAAACCATGTTTTTTCTTCATCAAAAACAATGTCACGACTAATGATAATTTTCTTTGTGATAGGATTATACAATTTATAAGCTTTTGAATAATCACTAAAAAATACTTTTTCCACCTTTGTCATCTAACTTTCTTCTTTTTTCATCTGAAGCATACACATACGCTATACACCCAAAACCCGAAAATGATCAACAGTTGGTCTATGCCCACTCCATGCTTTTTAATGAGTTATATTTTGAACAACTAATGTGGGGCTCCTATTCAAAATATAAACACTTCAATTAACTGCTTCAACCCAAAAACTTTTCGGAACTCCACCCCTCTACAAAAGACTTTGCACCATATTCAAAATAGTGCGATTTTTCCTCTCACAAACACCATTTTGTTGAGGTGTATAAGTTGCAGTCAGCTAGCTGCCTTCTAATTCCATGTTTGTCACAGAATTCACCAAATTCTTTTGAGTTTTATTCTCCACCACGATCTGTGCGTAATATTTTGATTGGGGTGCCAAATTGTTTTTCAACTAATGCTTTAAATTTTTGAAAAGTAGCGAAAGTATCTGATTTTTCCTGTAAAAAATAAACCCAAGTTTTTCGATTAAAATAATCAGTAAACGACATAAAATATCATTTACCACCATTGGATATTCGATTTATTGGCCCACACAAATCGGAATGCACTATTCTAGTGTTTTCATTGCCCTCCAAAACTTCCCTTTTGGGAAGACATCTTGATGATGTATACTGAATGACTTTGAAGGAGTCTCAAATTTTGGAAGGCCTGCCACCATATTTTTCTCCTACATAGTCTTCAATCCACCAAAATTGAGATGGTCATAGCGAAAGTGTCATAACCAAGCTGTATCTTTTAATTTTGCGGTAAGACATGAGTGAGTGGTGTGATAAAGATACAAAGGAAACATCCTGTTTGCTGTCTTTTCACTTAAGTAATTAAACCCAATTTTTATTCTACATATTCCATCTTTAATAGAGATCTCATAACCCTTTTTCTTGAAGTTGGCCAACACTCAACAAATTTGTCTTTAAATCAGGAATATAAAGAACATTAGAAGAAGTATATATAGTATTTCCCTTTGTATGAATTGTTACCTTTCCTTTTCCCCCAACAGAAATAGTGGAATTATCTCCAAACTTCAGTGTTGCGAAAAGATTCATCCAAGTCGGAAAATGTCGTCTTATCTCCGCACATGTGGTTGCTGCAACCAGTGTCTAAATACCACATATTTTGTTGACCTTCTTCCTTCATGTGACACACCATCAAAAGAGGCACCTCTTTTTCTTTTTCTGCAAAGTTAGTTCTTTCTCCAGGTTGCGTATTCACATTAGTTCGACATTCGAACTGATAATGGCCATACCTATGACATCTACATTGGGCTTGTCTGTTGAGTGTGGTTTGTAAGAAGTTGAATGGTGACCCCCATGTCCTCTTCCCAAAAATTGATTTTCATGGTATTGTTGTTGGTTCCCACGATCATTGATGCCTTTTCCTACTCTACCTCGACCTTTGCCTCTATCCTTGTCTACTCTACTTGGATATAAGTGAGTTTCTATTGAGCTCTTTAATGCTTGCTCTTCCTTTTCCTGCTGGATAATTTTTTGCTTATGAACCTTGCGTTTTATCAATTGAAAAATTATCAAGATCCTTTGACTCTTCAATTGAGCAAACCACATAATTATATTTTGGCATTATCGATCGAAGAATCTTTTCCACTACAGTTACGTCCTCAATTTTTCACCATGGACTCGCATTTTGTTGACAATCAACAAAGTTCTTGAGAAAAAATCAGAGATAGATTCTCCTCACTTCATTCGAAGTGTTTCAAACTCAGTACGCAGTGCTTGGAGTTGCTGCCTTCTTGCCCTTGTGGATCCTTGAAACTTCTTCTTCATGAAATCCCAGATATGTTTGGAGGTGTCCTTGCAAAGAATTGTTTCCAAAATTGAGCGATCAATTGTTTGGAAGAGATAGTTCTTTACTTTAAGATCCTTTAACTGTCGCCCTTCAAGATCAGTTCTTTGCTGGTGTGTTAACACTGTGCCTGTTGCTGGTTCTGCCACTCTAGCTTCAACAATCTGCCAATACTCCTTAGACAGGAAGAAATTCTCCATTAGCATGCTCCAATGATCATAATGACCATCAAAATGTGGAATTACAAGTTGCACAAGGTTTTTTGAGGTCATTGTTCCCTACTGCTGTTGCACAAAGAACAAATGAAAAAACAAATAGTTGCTACTCCATCACACTCTTATCTCACGAGACTCTATTTATGACTCTCTCAACCTCCCCTTTGTGAACTCTTGCAACTCACTTTTCACGCACTAACCAAGCAGCTTTGATACCACTGTTGTAATCAAAAGCATATACATATAAAGCTTAAAGGCAAAATCTGGAATGAAATACTTGATTGTCGTGTCTTTATTCATCAACAAATCAGCCTATATAACGAAAAAATAATAGCTTGACGCGAGACCACTAACCAATCTGCAACAACTAAATCCTAAACAACTAGGTAAAAGACATACACATGAATAACAAACTAAAACAGATTCCAAGTAACAAAAACATAAATACAATAAAATAACCAACAACCACGGCCTCCACACTGCCACTCTGGTGGCTGGCATCATGCGTCGGCATCCTCCTCCTCGCCACCCACGTCGCAGCACACAGGGGTGGACCTACCTTAAGTCCAGTGCAGGCATATGCCTGCATTGAACTTAGGGGATGGAAACTTCAAATGAGAGATAGAGAGATATAGAGAGAGAAGGGTAAGAGGGATGGACTTAGGCTGCAATAGGAGTTGGACTGTAATAGTTTTCTCATCCTTGTTTCTCTCACTAAATCTATCTGTATCTATATTTCTATTGTTGTCCTTTGTTTTAACTCTTGTGTGGCTTTATATGTACATCTTAAATGGGTCCATTCCATTCATCCTCTAAAATTTCTAACTCCCCATGTTTATTGGCTATTGCCTGCCTACTGCCTGGTCGTAGTGGAGTGAAAGTGCTTCACATAGTTTACCCTCCTACTTTACATTATCCTGAAATTTTACCATTAAGCTAAATAATTTCGTCTAAATTTTTAAAGGTTAAAAATTGAATAAAGTTTGTGTTACGAGTTCATAGGAATAACGTTATTTATCAACAATGGTGATGAATATGTACGTAACTATCGATGGTGTGGTTCTAGTGGATAACACCCTCGACCCCTCTAAAGTCTTTTGACTAAATGCCCAACTCAAGTGGGAGGTGGCACGTGATCCCCTCCACATAAACATCGACCTCGGAAAAACATGTGGGGTGGGACCCGAGATGTCGTTCGCAAACTCCGTGAAGGCTCAATTGGGAGTCATCGACCTTTTGCCATGGGCGATATAGGCGGCACATCAATCAAACAGTGGGGGAAAGTTGGTGAATTGCACTAGAACATGATTAAGAGGGCTAAAGCCGCAGCGAAAGTTAGTGGAGGTGGTGAAATAAATGCACTTCTATGGTATAAAGGACAAAAGTGATACATCTAATTTGAACGATGCGGAAAACTATGAAGGACGTCTTTGAAAGATTATTAATAATGTACATACCAATTTGAATATGCCTTCTCTTCCAATTCTTCATGTTGTTGAATCATCTAATGGTCCATTCAAAGACGAAGTTATAAAACAAACAAAATGCGTTTAAGATGCCTAATGTTGTAAAGGTGGATTCAAATGGATTGGGGCTTAACAAAGATAAAATTCACTTGAACACGGAGGCCGAGGCTTAGATGGGCAAATGGTTGGCTGATGCATATTTAAACAATTTTGCATAGTATTTTCACTTTCTCCTCATTGGTGTATTACGTCACTATTGAACCTCTAAATGGGGAGGAAATTTCTTAATACAATATAATTGTTGCTCTAGTTTATCTTAAAGAACTGAGCTTATGTAGATCTCTACAAAAGTGCTGATAATTGGTGCAAATGGTCAAAAACCTTCGCATTCTTTCTTTGGCACGAACTTCTTGTGGTAGTTGCATCCAACTGAAGAATACGTTGATAAGGTTCTTAGAAGCTCAATTTTATTACTTGAGCATAGCTTTTGGCAGTATAGAAACCATATGAAGGGTTCCATGAGCCACAGAATTTGTACCGTATCTTTAAACTGTGTTTGAAAAATATCACCCTTCTTTCAGTATAATATTATAACATCGAGGTTCATTCTACACTAAAAAGAGAAATTATCAACATTAAACAAACAAAAAGTAGAAAAGGAACAATATGTAAAATAACATGTTTCTGTGGAGATCTGTCTCTTTTTCCATCTCCAATCGTAAAAATGATCTAGAGAAACTTGTGAAAGGCAAAAAAATAACTTTTGCTTCTCTTGTTTTGATTGAAACATGTTCGATAATGGAACGAGTTTGTCCAGTCTATAGACAAGACTTCCAAGTCCCCTTTTCCATTTACTATCGAATAGCGTGATCTAACACAAGCACGTATAGTTCTGCACTAGACCGATCCACGATGTCATTAAACAAGTAGGAACATGAGAACAGCTACAATCATGCAGTTAGAGTAAAACCACAATGATGCTATAATCATCATGAATCAATCCATGTTTTCAACTAATAATGTAATTAACACCAAATATTACTTACTACTCTATGATCATAATTGAGTACTCAAGAATTTATGATCTGGTATGAACGAGAAAACAGTAACCATCTCGAGTTATGATCAAATTACATTCATGATAGAATATTCAAAAACCAATCCAAGTTTCAGCTAATATTGAAATTCCCTCTAAATAGTATAGTAATGCTCTATTATCATAACAAAGCACTCAAGAATTTATAGTAAATGGGATATCAAAAGTGGCCACTTGAAAAGGGCCATTGTCGAAAATCAAATCTCCATTGATTGAGTCCCAGATAAAGCTTTGGACTTTTTCCCTTTTGCTTTCTTTTTTACAGTTTTCGTGTCCTTCCTTTTAGGTTTCTCATCCATGGCAGGTTGTGTATTCTGCAAATGTTGATAGATGGCACCCAACGGATCTGATTGGAAAGTAGGATGGTTAATGACTATCTTCAACTGATTGTTCTCCTTAAACCTATAATCAATAAAATAAGAATAATTCACAACATAGTGAGGAAAAAATGGTAATATTTAATTGTCTCGAACACTTACACTAGATTATTTCTGGTTTTACTATTAAGCTTAAATTCAGTAGGTCTTGTTTCTTTGGGAGCCTTCAGTTCCGGAAGGAAATCTGAGAGGGAAGAAAGATCATATGCCTTCAGTTTCTTTTGTCGGCTCCTTTTACGTTGTTTCTTCTCCTAGTAGGACAACAGTAACTTCCTCAGAAGACAAGATAGACAAATAACTTTTCCTAAAATGAATCTGCTAGCCATTAAAAAAAATCACTGCACCAGAAGCAGAGCTCGATCGTGATACATGTATTCTCAAATAATGACTATATCATCATGGGCACCAAGCCTTCAATTTCTCACATTTTCCTCATATTCAAGCTCTGATTCAAAACTTATTATCTAATGAGGCATAAAATTTTCTAAGCCAACCACGAGAACTCGCATTTCTAAATGAGGACATTACATCGTTTGTAAGGAAAAGTGAAAAATAGGTAAAAGATTCATACCTTAGCAATAGATTTTTGAGCAACAGCATTTCTGATAGCTACAAAAAGCAATAATCCACATGAAGAATTTTAGATTTAATGCTGTACATCATTTTACCAAAAATATAAATAAATTAAAAACTCTACATTTTTCTAATTATACATTAATGCACAAAAAGCATTGGAAATTACGCATACATTTCCCAAGTCTACGATTCAGGAACCAAACACGTAAAATTACGAAATTGATTTTTCGTTATTTAAGCGGAAAAATTATACAAATTAGCTCAATGAAATAATAGACAAGTACGCTCTTACTTTCATAAAATTGAACTTTTTTGTCGAACTTGCGATCTGCACGAGTCTTTAGATCTCCATCTGATATGGAACTAACAACACATAAAACTAAATTAAATACAAGAAATATATTCGCACAAGAAAAAAATTGTTGAAGGAATCTTACCATGATCTAGTCTTCCCCATTGGTGAACTTCGAAACAGACCTTAGATTTAACTTTTATATCTCCGAAAACTGAATGTCAAATTAAAATCAAAGCTTTTATGAAGACAATTGCATTAGGGTTTATGGTTTGTGGAGAGAGAAAAATAGAATCAAGCAGCAGGTTTTTATTTAGATTTATCTACAAGGTAAGAATGCCAAATTTGGGTCCAATATGAGCTTCCACGTCCAAATACTAATGGGCTTTTTGTCCAACTGATTTGGGCTAGCCCAAGTTTAGCTGATCCAAAAAGACAGCATCGCACCTCGTGTCATCTTTTCATGCCTCTCTCCCTTCACCGGAATCGCATTTGCTCTGGACCTCCGATCAATACCAGATTTCAAAGAAGTCCACCATTAGGGCCGGCCCTGAGAATTTAGTGGCTCTAGACGACTAATTATTACGTGGCCCTTCAAAATAATCATTTTTTCATTATGGGGATGACTAAAATGTTAACCGGGGTGACTAGTTTAATCTTAAATTAAACAATTTTGAAAAGAGAAAAAAAATAAAGAGTAGGATAAAAAAATCATCATATTAGCAAGAAACAAGCATAAATATATACCCCATAAGCAAAAAGAAAAATTGCAAGAAACAACTTACTAGAACATTGGATCAATCAAAACATGTCCAATTCAAAGAGAGAGAGCTGATATTAATAGGACAAATACGCCACATCAACCAGGTATAAAGAGACAGCAAACTACGGAAGCATATATCAAAGGAATACGATAGAGAAAGGCGCAAAAGAAACAGAACATTTAATATAAACATTCAAAAAGGAAAATG